TGATTACAGACTCTTCAATCTAGCACAGAAAGGTATAAAAGGATTTAATGGCAGAAAGTTGAAGCTAGACAATTTCAGACTGAAAATATGGGATATATTTTTAATAGTGAGAGTAATTAACCTTTGGAACAATTTCCCAAGAGTCGTGGTGGATTCTCCGGCACTGGAAATTTTTAAATCAATATTGGATATTTTTCTAAAATACATGCTCTAGGGATTTATTCTGGGAAAGTGCTGTATGGCTCGTGTTAGAGAGAAGGTCAGAATAGATGATTACAATGGTCCCTTCTGGCCTTAGAATCTCTGAACCTATAAAAATTAAATTATTTTAACCAACTAGTAATTCAAATCAGCAAAACATATATCATACCATTCATACCCAAGAGCCTTCCCCAAAAGCCAAAACAAACAGATGAACTTTTTAGTATGCTAATAAGGTCAACAGATTTGGGGTATTTCAGAACAAATGAGGGTCTTCAGTCTCATTTCGTTTGCGGCAGGTCATCTTTAAACTAGTGTGGCAAGGCTGGGGAACAGGAAGCCTCGGGACTACCGTACTGATGGAGATCAATAGAATAATATTACCAAAATCTCAAGAAAACGGGCTTTATCGGAACAACGTTCTCTCTGAAAGCCCTCTGAAAATCCTCCGGTTGCATTAGCCTCCGAGGACAGATCAACACAAATCTCTTGTCCCAACAGGACAGATGTGCCCTAGCTCAGGAGGTAATAGTTGGTCCCTGATACAGGTATAGCGTCCAATACTCTGCAAAAACAACGAGGAGTCCGGTGGCACCTTAAAGACTAACAGATTTATTTGGGTATAAGCTTTTGTGGGTAAAAAACCCACTTCTTCAGATGCATGGAGTGAAAATTGCAGATACAGGCATAAATATACAGGCACATGAAGAGAAGGGAGTTACCTTACAAGTGGAGAACCAATGTTGACAAGGCCAATTCAGTCATGGTGGATGTGGTCCACTCCCAATAATTGATGAGGTGTCAATACCAAGAGAGGGAAAATGGCTTTTGTAGTGAGCCAGCCACTCCCAGTCCCTATTCAAGCCCAAATTAATGGTGTTAAATTTGCAAATGAATTGTAGCTCTGAAGTTTCTCTTTGAAGACTGTTTTTGAAGTTTTTTTTGTTGAAGGATGGCTACTTTTAAATCTGTCATTGAATGTCCAGGGAGATTGAAGTGTTCTCCTACTGGCTTTTGTACATTATCATTCCTGATGTCTGATTTGTGTCCATTTATTCTTTTACGTAGAGACTGTCCAGTTTGGCCAATGTACATGGCAGAGGGACACTGCTGGCACATGATGGCATATATCACATTAGTAGATGTGCAGGTGAATGAGACCCTGATGGTCTGGCTGATGGGGTTGGATCCTGTGATGGTGTCGCTAGAGTAGATATGGGGACAGAGTAGGCAACGTGGTTTGTTACAGGGATTGGTTCCTGGGTTAGTGTTTCTGTGGTGTGGTGTGTCAGGTTGGGGGGCTGTCTGTAAGCGAGGACTGGCCTGCCTCCCAAGGTCTGTGAGAGTGAGGGATCGTTTTCCAGGATAGATTGTAGATCGTTGATGATGTGCTGGAGAGGCTTTAGCTGGGGGCTGGAAGTGATGGCCAGTGGTTTTCTGTTATTTTCCTTGTTGCGCCTGTCCTGTAGTAGGCGACTTCTGGGTACCCGTCTCGCTCTGTCAATCTGTTTCCTCACTTCCCCAGGTGGGTATTGTAGTTTTAAGAATGCTTGATAAAGATCTTGTAGGTGTTTGTCTCTGTCTGAGGGATTGGAGAAAATGCAGTTGTATTTTAGGGCTTGAGTCTACAACTACCTGGGAAAATTCGGTGGTTGTCATGGTGGACAGGAAATCCAGACCTGTCTCAGAATATCATCTCTATGAAAAATTAAGGTCACTGAGTACAATTTAACCTTTGTGACGTCACTGCAGCACAACTGAAGAATGTAATCAGCTCACCCAGGCACTTTGGTGGATACTTGGTAAACTAAAACAAGTCCCATCCTAACCCCCAGCCCAGGACTCACACAGAAGACAGAAAAGCTCTCTGTTCTAGATATGGGCTGGGAGACCTCCTACACTTATGGCTGGATTCAGCCAGTAAGGGCACACTGCCTCCTTTCTAGGTCCCTTTGGTTCATGGGGCACTGAATACCCAGCTGTAGATAACTGCACCATGATTAGTCCAACAGTGTCATCCAAACAAGTTTTAAGTAATACACACAAAATCAAAATCAGAGTCTTCATCCTTTACTACATCAGGAATGACCAGCATTTTATTTATCACCAACTGTTTCTTAGGGTATGTCTACACTACGAAATCAGGTCAAATTTATAGAAGTCGTTTTTTTAGAAATCGGTTTTATATATTCGAGTGTGTGTGTCCCCACAGAAAGTGCTCTAAGTGCATTAAGTGCAGTAACTCGGTGGAGTGCTTCCACAGTACCGAGGCTAGCGTCGACTTCCGGAGTGTTGCACTGTGGGTGGCTATCCCACAGTTCCCGCAGTCTCCGCTGCCCATTGGAATTCTGGGTTGAGATCCCAATGCCTGATGGGGCTAAAACATTGTCGCGGGTGGTTCTGGGTACATATCGTCAGGCCCCCGTTCCCTCCCTCCCTCCCTCCCTCCGTGAAAGCAAGGGCAGACAATCGTTTCGCGCCTTTTTTCCTGAGTTACCTGTGCAGACGCCATACCACGGCAAGCATGGAGCCCGCTCAGGTAACCGTCACCCTATGTCTCCTGGGTGCTGGAAGACGCGGTACTGCATTGCTACACAGCAGTCTGGTGCAATATGACTGGTAGCCATCATCGTCATGTCCGAGCTGCTCCTGGCCGCGTCGGCCGGGAGCGCCTGGACAGACATGGGTGCAGGGACTAAGTTTGGAGTGACTTGACCAGGTCATTCTCTTTAGTCCTGCAGTCAGTCCTATTGAACCATCTTATGGTGAGCAGGCAGGCAATACGGATTGCTAGCAGTCGTACTGTACCATCTTCTGCCGGGCAGGCAAGAGATGAGGATGGCTAGCAGTCGTATTGCACCGTCTTCTGCCGAGCAGCCATGAGATGTGGATGGCTTGCAGTCCTTCTGCACCATCTGCTGCCAGCCAAAGATGTAAAAGATAGATGGAGTGGATCAAAACAAGAAATAGACCAGATTTGTTTTGTACTCATTTGCTTCCCCCCCTCCCCTGTCTAGGGGACTCATTCCTCTAGGTCATACTGCAGTCACTCACAAAGAAGGTGCAGCAAGGTAAATCTAGCCATGTATCAATCAGAGGCCAGACTAACCTCATTGTTCCAATAAGAACAATAGCTTAGGTGCACCATTTCTTATTGGAACCCTCTGTGAAGTCCTGCCTGAAATACTCCTTGATGTAAAGCCACCCCCTTTGTTGATTTTAGCTCCCTGAAGCCAACCCTGTAAGCCATGTTGTCAGTCTCCCCTCCCTCCGTCAGAGCAACGGCAGACAATCGTTCCGCGCCTTTTTTCTGTGCGGACGCCATACCAAGGCAAGCATGGAGGCCGCTCAGCTCACTTTGGCAATTAGGAGCACATTAAACACCACACGCATATAACAGTATATGCAGCACCAGAACCTGGCAAAGCGATACCGGGCGAGGAGGCGACGTCAGCGCGGTCACGTGAGTGATCAGGACATGGACACAGATTTCTCTGAAAGCATGGGCCCTGCCAATGCATGCATCATGGTGCTAATGGGGCAGGTTCATGCTGTGGAACGCCGATTCTGGGCTCGGGAAACAAGCACAGACTGGTGGGACCGCATAGTGTTGCAGGTCTGGGACGATTCCCAGTGGCTGCGAAACTTTCGCATGCGTAGGGGCACTTTCATGGAACTTTGTGACTTGCTGTCCCCTGCCCTGAAGCGCATGAATACCAAGATGAGAGCAGCCCTCACAGTTGAGAAGCGAGTGGCGATAGCCCTGTGGAAGCTTGCAACGCCAGACAGCTACCGGTCAGTTGGGGAATCAATTTGGAGTGGGCAAATCTACTGTTGGAGCTGCTGTGATGCAAGTAGCCCACGCAATCAAAGATCTGCTGATATCAAGGGTAGTGACCCTGGGAAATGTGCAGGTCATAGTGGATGGCTTTGCTGCAATGGGATTCCCTAACTGTGGTGGGGCCATAGACGGAACCCAGATCCCTATCTTGGCACTGGAGCACCAAGCCGGCGAGTACATAAACCGCAAGGGGTACTTTTCAATAGTGCTGCAAGCTCTGGTGGATCAACAGGGACGTTTCACCAACATCAACGTGGGATGGCCGGGAAAGGTACATGACGCTAGCATCTTCAGGAACTCTGGTCTGTTTCAAAAGCTGCAGGAAGGGACTTTATTCCCAGACCAGAAAATAACTGTTGGGGATGTTGAAATGCCTATATGTATCCTTGGGGACCCAGCCTACCCCTTAATGCCATGGCTCATGAAGCCGTACACAGGCAGCCTGGACAGTACTCAGGAGCTGTTCAACTACAGGCTGAGCAAGTGCAGAATGGTGGTAGAATGTGCATTTGGACGTTTAAAGGCGCGCTGGTGCAGTTTACTGACTCGCTTAGACCTCAGCGAAACCAATATTCCCACTGTTATTACTGCTTGCTGTGTGCTCCACAATATCTGTGAGAGTAAGGGGGAGACATTTATGGCAGGGTGGGAGGTCGAGGCAAATCGCCTCGCTGCTGGTTACGCGCAGCCAGACACCAGGGCAGTTAGAAGAGCACAGGAGGGCACGGTACGCATCAGAGAAGCTTTGAAAACCAGTTTCATGACTGGCCAGGCTACGGTGTGAAAGTTCTCTTTGTTTCTCCTTGATGGAAATCCCCCGCCCCTTGGTTCACTCTACTTCCCTGTAAGCTAACCACCCGCCCCTCCTCCCTTTAATCATTGCTTGTAGAGGCAATAAAGTCATTGTTGCTTCACGTTCATGCATTCTTTATTCATTCATCACACAAATAGGGGGATGACTACCAAGGTAGCCCAGGAGGGGTGGTGAAGGAGGGAAGGAAAATGCCACACAGCACTTTAAAAGTTCACAACTTTAAAATTTATTGAATACCAGCCTTCTTTTTTATTGGGCAATCCTCTGTGGCAGAGTGGCTGGTTGGCCGGTGGCCCCCCCACCGCGTTCTTGGGTGTCTGGGTGTGGAGGCTATGGAACTTGGGGAGGAGGGCGGTTGGTTACACAGGGGCTGTAGTGGCAGTCTGTGCTCCAGCTGCCTTTGCTGCAGCTCAACCATACACTGGAGCATACTGGTTTGGTCCTCCAGCAGCCTCAGCATTGAATCCTGCCTCCTCTCATCACGCTGCCGCCACATTTGAGCTTCAGCCCTCTCTTCAGCCCACCACTTACTCTCTTCAGCCCGCCACCTCTCCTCCCGGTCATTTTGTGCTTTCCTGCACTCTGACATTATTTGCCTCCACGCATTCGTCTGTGCTCTGTCAGTGTGGGAGGACAGCATGAGCTCAGAGAACATTTCATCACGAGTGCGTTGTTTTTTCTTTCTAATCTTCACTAGCCTCTGGGAAGGGGAAGATCCTGTGATCATTGAAACATATGCAGCTGGTGGAGGAAAAAAAAAAGGGACAGCGGTATTTAAAGACACATTTTATAAAACAGTGGCTACAGTCTTTCAGGGTAAACCTTGCTGTTAACATTACATACATAGCACATGTGCTTTTGTTACAAGGTCGCATTTTGCCTCCCCCTACCGCGTGGCTACCCCCTCCCCGTGGCTAACAGCGGGGAACATTTCTGTTCAGCCACAGGTAAGCAGCCCAGCAGGAACGGGCTCCTCTGAGTGTCCCCTGAAGAAAAGCACCCTATTTCAACCAGGTGATCATGAATGATATCTCACTCTCCTGAGGATAACACAGAGAGATAAAGAACGGATGTTGTTTGAACGCCAGCAAACATACACTGCAATGCTTTGTTGTACAATGATTCCCGAGTACGTGTTACTGGCCTGGAGTGGTAAAGTGTCCTACCGTGGAGGACGCAATAAGGCTGCCCTCCCCAGAAACCTTTTGCAAAGGCTTTGGGAGTACATCCAGGAGAGCCGCGAATGCCAGGGCAAAGTAATCCTTTCACATGCTTGCTTTTAAACCATGTATAGTATTTTAAAAGGTACACTCACCGGAGGTCCCTTCTCCGCCTGTCGGGTCCAGGAAGCAGCCTTGGGTGGGTTCGGGGGGGTACTGGCTCCAGGTCCAGGGTGAGAAACAGTTCCTGGCTGTCGGGAAAACCGGTTTCTCCGCTTGCTTGCTGTGAGCTATCTACAACCTCATCATCATCATCATCATCTTCTTCGTCCCCAAAACCTGCTTCCGTGTTGCCTCCATCTCCATTGAAGGAGTCAAACAACATGGCTGGGGTAGTGGTGGCTGAACCCCCTAAAATGGCATGCAGCTCATCATAGAAGCGGCATGTTTGGGGCTCTGACCCGGAGCGGCCGTTCGCCTCTCCAGTTTTCTGGTAGGCTTGCCTCAGCTCCTTAAGTTTCACGCGGCACTGCTTCGGGTCCCTGTTATGTCCTCTGTCCTTCATGCCCTGGGAGATTTTGACAAAGGTTTTGGCATTTCGAAAACTGGAACGGAGTTCTGATAGCACGGATTCCTCTCCCCATACAGCGATCAGATCCCGTACCTCCTGTTCAGTCCATGCTGGAACTCTTTTGCGATTCTGGGACTCCCTCATGGTCACCTCTGCTGATGAACTCTGCATGGTCACCTGCAGCTTGCCACGCTGGCCAAACAGGAAATGAGATTAAAAAGTTCGCGGTTCTTTTCCTGTCTACCTGGCCAGTGCATCTGAGTTGAGAGTGCTGTCCAGAGCGGTCACAATGGAGCACTCTGGGATAGCTCCCGGAGGCCAATACCTTCAAATTGTGTCCACAATACCCCAAATTCAACCCGGCAAGGCCGATTTAAGCGCTAATCCACTTGTCAGGGGTGGAGTAAGGAAATCGATTTTAAGAGCCCTTTAAGTCAAAATAAAGGGCTTCATCATGTGGACGGGTGCAGGTTTACATCGATTTAACGCTGCTAAATTCGACCTAAAGTCCTAGTGTAGACCAGGGCTTTATCAATGAACTAAAGAAAGTGTATGAAATTCTGGCCCCATCAAAATCACCTTCCTTTCCCCCCCTTTTCTCCCAAGCTGCCACAACTATACCTGAACTTGGCTGAGTTGTCCCACCATGTTTGGTTGAAAGTAGCTATTTGGCAATTAAATAAGGATCTACAGGGCAGACTGGAAAAGTTATCACAAAATGTGAACCCCTCCCAAAGCATAGCCCCTTGCCACTAACAAAGTGTTTCAATTTCAGGATGTCTTCCATCCCAAAGTTCTAATCGCCTAATCTCTCCAACGTAAATCTTATATTATTTTTAAAATAATTCAGTTTCTATTCCCATCCAATGGAGCTGTTTTCCATCAGATCCTGTAGGAAATTAGACATTTTATATTTAAACCCCTATGTCACTAGTTTCTGAACCTTTTCTGGGGGGGGGGGAGCTTTACCCCAAGTTTCTGCATTAGCTTTTAATTTCATGATTTCTCCATGGCTTGAGAGTTCCATGATAAATGGTATTTACCTTCATGTGTGAGGTAAAGATGTGAACACAAACAATTCTAAAGGTAGCACATGGGTTTGAGTAAATATACCAATTAACAGTTAAACTCTGAAAGCCACATTGTTCCCTTGCATCCTGAGCTGAGGGATTTCTTTCTTGATAACTTGGCTTATATAAGAGTGATACTCCCAGTCTTCATCATAAGACATTGATCACGGAAGCTATTATCTATAATAATAGGGCCAGTTATAATAGTAATAATCATTTCATCTTAATTGCTCATTGTGGACTGTCATGGTATATAAGTGCCTCAGAAAGGGCAGTTTTTTTTAGCAAACTGTATTTTAGTATTGTGACATCCTTTTATTGCACAATTGCTAAACAAGTTAAAAGGAAATAGATAAAACTCACTGTCTTCATCTTCAAAGACTTCATTATAATTAACGCACATGGAGAGCGATTCTTTGCTACTCAAACAATGAGGAGAATGTTTTGTTTGATATCCTTGTAACAGCAACAGGGACAGAATATTGGGACAAGGAGGTTCCATTGACAGATGGAATTGGCCATTTGGGAAGGGGACAGCTGGGGAATGGTCAGTAGGAAATTGACAACTGTGAGGAACAGATGGATGCTAGGCAGCTGCAAATGACAGTTGTGAATGTTAGATATATGGGAACAACAGTTAGGAACTGGGCAGCTTGAGAGCGGGAAATGGGAACTGAGAAGTTAGGCATGACAGTAGGATGGTTGGAAGTGACAGTTGGGAATGGCAGGTGGGGCTGGGCATTTTGGGAGTGAGATTTGAGAGTGATAGTTGGGACTAGCAGATGGAAAATGGACAGTTGGAAAGAAAAGGAAAAAAATGAAGAAAATGCAGTGACAACAGCAGAGAAGCCAGTGGGGAGGGAAAAATGTGAACCATCAGGAAGGAAGAGATAACAGAATTCATGGTAGAGTGTGTGTGAGGAGGACACTGTCAGTTACATTCTAAAGAGCTGAAGAAAGGGAAAGGGCAAATGAAAAAAGTTAATTTCTAGTTAATTCTCTCACTGTGCTGAGGAAATGGAAAAGTGAAATTGTTTGCTGTTGTACACTTCATTTAATTATGCAAATACAATCTCTTTCCCTGTCAAAAAATTATCTGTAAGGTAGTAAATTCTATTGAGAGTGAAACAAGTTCAGGTACAAATACAGCTAATAAAGTAGTTATTTATATAACATAGTATGATGACTTGGGGTTCCAGCTACGATTAACAGGATAGGATCATTATTTTCAGCGGTGTCCCATTAGTAGTAGAAGGGATGGAATCTTGGTACTAGAAAATTCCATAGCTGTAGGAATCTGAGCAGCTAGACAGTGAAAATGGGGGTTGTGAAAAAAGTGGGGCAGGGTCCCTTTGAAAAGAGAAAGGGAACAGATCATTAGAAGGAATCAGGGTAAAGGGTGAGAGGGGAGTAGTGTCATAGACATGAAAGTGAATGAAAGGAAAAGAGTTGGTGGAGGATTTAGAGGAGGCTTTGCCTGGTCTGATTTGAGTCAGATATATCTTTGTCTGCTGAGCTGCCTTTGTGCATCAAATTTTCCTTCCCATTTTCATATTTCACTAGCCTCCACTGAAGAGAGAGGAGAAAAAAAAAAGAAAGAAAGAAAAACAACAGAAAACATGACAGGGAAAACATGGTTAAGGCAAGAAAAATGACAGAGAAACCCACCTAAAAAAATGAGTGAGATCCTGGTTATTATCTCTGACTGTTCTAAGAGTGAATTTCTGCCTGACCATTTTTAAAAATAGAAAAATAAAATCTATTTTCTCTTGTTGAATAAATTATTAGTTCTAAGACAACTATTTTCTCTTTAGTGGGAGAAAATCCGCTAGGAGTACTGAGATATGTATATAAGGTGGCATGAGGATTTGTGGTTGTAGCCCGAGTAACAGAAAAGGGAACTCAGGCTGCAGAATGCCCCCATAATAAATAAAATAGCAATACTTTGCAATGGTGTAACAGTCACCATTTTAGGAAGAGGAGCTTTACAAACATTAATTAATTAATCTCACCATGCTCTTGTGAAGGTAGGTGAGCATTTTATTGTATCAATTTTAATGACAAAGAAACTGAAACACAGCTCCAGAAAGGCATTTAGACTCATAATTTCCATTGAAATTACTGAAAGTTAGGAGCCTAGCCTAGCCACATCTGTGGATCCGGGCCAGGGAGATGACTAGCTTAAGATCACACAGCAAGTTTAAACCAAGAAGAGAACTCGGGTCTGTGCCTCAGAGATTGATTCTATAGCAAAATGTTACTCTCTAAAAATAGCAGCCTGGATTTCCCGGTGGAGGGTCTGTGACTGGTACTATACCAAACACACTTCCTTTCCAAGGAAATGGCTTTCTAACTGCCCAGCGCACACAGCCTAGAATCTGAGGGTCAAACCGAATTTCTTCCTCCTGGCCTATCCTCACCATCCGGGCTGTGCAGGACCAAGCGCCTCTCCCTGGCACGGGTGGGACCCCAGTGCGTTCACCCGAGCTCCGCGCGCCCCGCCGGACACGGTGGGACTGAGCGGGCGGGAGTTCGCCCAGTCTCTCCGCAGGGCCGGCGGGACCCGCGAGGCTAGGGCGCCCCTCGTTTGCGGCAGGCTGTGCGCACAGGGGGCGGAGGGTCTGGGCCGGGGGCCGCAGCCTAAGCGCTTCGCCAGGAGAGGCAAGGCATCCAGCCTGGCTCCCTCCGCCCCAGCCTGGGGGCACCGCCCGGGCCCAGCGGCCCCTGCCCCGGATGGCGAGGGCGGCGGTGCGCGAGACCCGGGTTGGGGGCGGGCGCGTGCACTAGCGCCAGCACCGCCCGCTGACCGGGCTCGCCCCCCCTTGCTCCGTCTTTGGGGCGCGCGCCCGCCCGCCTTCTAGCCATGGGGGAGGGTGGCACGGGCACGAGCGCCGCCGCGCGAGCCCTCAGCCCGTTCAGTGACAGCCCGCGGCAGAAGACGGTGGCGGCGGCGGCGACCCGCACCCCTTTGGACCCGCGCTCCCTCGGCCGCGCCTGAGCCGGCAGCCCCGGTCCCGGCGCCGCCTGGAGGAGCTCCTTGCCCACGGCGCCTCCCCGCCGGGAGGGTAATTGAATTAACTCGCCAGCAGGGAGCCGGGGCCGCCAGGGACACGAGCGGAGGCGGCGGCCGCCCCAAGTGGTGAGCCCGGCCGGCGGCGCCTGCGCCTGGCCTTGGTGGAGCCGGGCGGCCGGTGGCTGAGGGGGCTGCCGCTCCGAAGCGGGACTGCGGGGGCCGACCCCCCTTCCCCCGGCCGGTCCCTGCGCGCCGGGAGCCCGTCAGGAGAGAGCGGGGCGGCTCCGAGGCCGAAGGCCCCACCGGTCGGAGTGGAGCCCCCACCCCGGCGAGTGCGAACGGCCGCGCCAGCCCCTGGGGGCGGCAGGGAGCAGCACAGGCCGGCGGCTGCCGCACCACAGCGTGGCGGCTGCGCCTCCTGGGCGTCCCGAGGCTGCCAGCGCGGGGGGAACTTTGGGGACGAGGAAACTAACCCGGCACCAAGCGCTGGACCGCCTCGGCTCTGCCGGAGCAGGGCGGGCTGCGGGCGGGAGCCAGACAGGGCCAAGTCGGGCTTGTTCCTCCGCGTCAGCGTCAGGAGTGGGGATGGTGCGGCCGCGCTGAGAGCCACACGCTGCTAACACGCCTGGCCTCGGGAGGCACGGGGCTTTTCCTCTTCCTTTGCGGTGAGCAGCAAAAAAGATGGGGAAGAGGCCCTTTCCCGAAGGGGGCTGCTTGTCACTCTCCCGACAGTGAGCTGCACTTATTGGAAAGGACCTGGGGAGTGACAGCAAAACTGCAGCTAACTTGGAACAAATCGCCCCCAGTTTGTGGACTGGCAGCTGGACATATCTACAACAGCCTTACATTAGAATATGTGGGCCTGTCTAGGTCCCAGTCTCCTGTTTGTCTGGCCCTGTTTGAAGGATGAGTAACTGAAACTTGTGGACCTGCCTGGCGGTTTCTTTAAACAGGCAGTGATTTCTCGAAGAATTTAAAAACAACTGTCCTAGGAAAAGCCCCAAGTCAGAAAGTTAAAGTATCACTCTATTTATTGTTTTTAAAGTCCTAAGGACCCATCTCCTAAAGCGCCTAAGAAAATCTGGCAACATGGCTTCCCCACCCCACGAGCAGTTACTACATCACCACAGCACTGAGGTGAGCTGCGACTCCAGTGGAGACAGTAACAGTGTGATGGTAAGAATCAACCCCAAACAGCACCAGGGTTGTTCCTCTTCCAAGCATTGCAAGTACAGTATCTCCTCCAGCTGTAGCAGCTCTGGGGAGTCCGGAGGTGCCCGCAGAGCAACAGGAGGAGGGGGAAGCAGTGGTGCAGGTTTGCGCAAGAAGAAGCTGCCTCAGCTTTTTGAGAGAGCTTCCTCCAAGTGGTGGAACCCCAAGTTTGACTCCAACAATCTGGAAGAGGCCTGTATGGAGAGATGCTTCCCGCAGACCCAGCGTAGGTTTCGGTATGCCCTTTTCTACATAGGTGTGGCCTGTCTCCTCTGGGGTTTATATTTTGGAATCCACATGAGAGAGAAACTGATTGTCTTCATGGTGCCAGCTCTGTGCTTCCTCTTAATATGTGTAGCATTTTTTCTGTTCACTTTCACTAAGACCTATGCCCAGCATTATGTGTGGACCTCACTGATTCTCACCCTCCTCGTTTTTATTTTGACTCTGGCTCCACAGTTCCAAGGTTTGACACCTATCTCAGGAAGTGATGACACATCCAATCATACTCTCCCTGTGAGAGCCATGGACACTTGCCTTTCTCAAGTAGGCAGTTTTTCTATGTGTGTTGAAGTGCTCTTGTTGCTCTACACAGTAATGCACTTACCTTTGTATTTAAGCTTGTTTCTGGGACTATCCTACTCAGTCCTTTTTGAAACCATTGGTTATCATTTCAGTGATGAAGACTGCTTTGCACCCCTTGGAGCCAGTGTAATTTACTGGGAACTGCTGAGTAAAGCCTTGCTTCACATCTGTATCCATGCTATTGGTATTCATTTATTTATCATGTCTGAAGTCAGATCAAGGAGCACATTCTTGAAAGTGGGGCAATCAATCATGCATGGAAAAGATTTGGAAGTGGAAAAAGCACTGAAAGAGAGGATGATTCATTCTGTGATGCCAAGAATAATAGCTGATGACTTAATGAAACAGGGGG